TATATATATATATATAGATTAGTTTTCGAAGATATATTTATAATATAAAAAAAAATTTAATGTTAAAATTATATACGCATAATTAACTTTTTAAATTATATCATAGTAATTTATTAATAACAGACTGAAGAATATAAAAAGATATTTTGAATATTTTCTATATATATGGTGTCCTGTAACTGCCACTACTACACATTATCTTTTGAAAACCCATTCCTAAGATATATAAATTTTGAGTAAAAAATTTTAATATAAAAATGTCGAGGCTGCAATATTTTTTAAATTAATAACAATTAAAATACTCAAATTATAGAGCTAATATTTCATTCAATTAAGCTTGATCAATAAAAGTGGATCGATGACAAGATGCTTCACAGAGGCACTCTCAGCAACTTCAAGATTATCATACAAATATGTAATATGATATCTTTATTAAGAAATACTCTTGCCTCTGTACGAAATCTATTTGTACTACATTATTAATATAATTAATATCAGAACATATCACAAAATATCAATTTAAAAATAAAAATAAACAATACGTTTAAGGTTATTAGGAGTTAAGGCCGATGAAGGTGTGCCAATGAATAAATTATAATCCCAATTCCCAATGATTAATTTACATAATGTATAATCTTCTTTATTTTGAATATCAATTTAATAGCGAGATAAATTTATAATTATGTTTATTTGCCTCATGTGTTAAATATTTTTTAAATAATATCAGTAGATAAATGTTACTGAAGTGAAAAGAATTGAATATGTTGACAAGGTAATCGGATAATATATGAAATATTTATATTTAATGCGCTTGTATGAAATTACCAACATACTACTTTTTTAATAATTATTGTGGATAATTGCTCACTATAGAAGACCCAGCCCCGATAATCTTGACCTTAACATGTTGTCAAAATCATGACCCTGAATGACCTCTAACGAATGTCAGTCATCGGATGTTGTAAATTTTGTAAATTTTTACTTTAAGCAATAGTTTGTGAAATAATAAGGCTTTAAATACGATCAATTACGAACTACGTTTAACTGAAGTGTGCGCTTACTAATACTACCGCATGCGTGAATCACGGATAAGTGATTGTCTAAATAAAATCTGTAATTGGCTATATTTAAATCCTTATATCTTAAAAATTACTGCTTGATATAAAAACGTACGCATTTTTTACTTAATTTTTTGAAAATTTTTTTAATGTAGATTTTGATTCGTGAATTTTGAAGTAACTCTGCCGGATGTCTTTCAAAGGATAAATAAAAATTGAATTGATAAGCCACTTTATACAGTATTTAAATACTTATACTCGCACATATAATTTGAGTCTATTTAATTATAATAGCGACACTGTTGCTCGACTGTTATTTGATTTCTCCGAATGCACTCCGTATGTAACTACCTGATAGATACGTGGATAGATCGATTTAGTGATTCGAAGAGATCCGGACGTCTCAGAAATAGAATCACTTATGACCATATGACATCGTGCAAGCAAGCGCATTTACGTCGCGGGACAATGGAAAAGGTCGCGCCGCAGCGGTTGTGGCATTTGCGGCGTTCGTCGCTAATAAACGTGTTCGCGAGAAAATGCGCAACGTATTGAGCAGAAACGAAAGGTACGAATGGATACAGGCCTTTCCTCAAGAGAATCGGGGCGGGGAATTCCCCGCGAAAGAACGGACCAGTGTATTTGTATGTACAATTGCACTCATTGATGGTTTTCCAGTACAACTACTGTACGACTTAATTAAAGATTAATCTTACAAAGTCATATATATATATATATATATTTTACGTTATTTGTATGCAGCTCGTAAGGGTCATTTCAAGGTCATGCCGTCTATGCCACATAATACATCTTTTCATACCATAAAAATTATGTCTAAGACATTTTGTCGAAAAATGAATAGTTTCGGAAATAATTGTTTGCTTCCATACTTTTTCCCCACCCTGTATATCGTATTCTTAAATTATATTTTAATTTGGAACTCGAATTATAATCTTTAACAACTATAAAAATAGCAAAAATAAACGAATAATATTTTACAAATTCTAGGGTTTTTAAATATTTAGAGGAATCTATAAAGAATACAAACAATAATTTGAGCAATTTATAAAAATGACGAAGTCTATAGAAAATGAAGAAATTCAGCGAAATTTAAGAACTATCTTTGATCAACTAACCAATGAGAATTATAATAGATATGTGATTTACAATACTATTTGCATAAAAAAGGCCTTATACATATAATGTAAATAACGTTGCGTATTTACAAGTTATTTTCACATTATATTATAGATATAGTATACAAGAGATGTTAGACTTGATATATATACTTTATACTGGATTTTTACCTAAAATGCATTTTTTATATTTTCTGTAGAATAGAATACAATAAGTAATATACATTCTCTTAAATAATAAATAAAGACAAAGAAAAAAGATAAATCTAAACAGAATGAATTTACTGTTATATTAATCGTATCTGATTCGCTATTACAATTATTCATTCAAACTTTCTTATACCACGCAATAGAAACCGGGTACAATTGCAAGGGATGTCAATTAAGCTAGTTTATCTGAAAATGCACTTCGTCAGACAAGGCCAAATAGTGGCATCATATCCAACAATTTTCCTTATGTTTCTTCGCCTTAAGATTTAAAGATGGTCATCGAACACGAACAGCAATCATCATATAGATTGTCACATCTTTCATCGTCGCTGTTTATGAACCCGTAATGAAGCTTTACACAACGGGGAGAGGGGGGGGGGGAGGAAACGCTGCAATTTTCAGTTACATGGCATGGAATTTTCCAAATTTGCATATCAACGTGTGCGAATGATTCAAGGCAGTTTCTCGAAGGATTAAAAAACTGAGAATTTAGAGTTGCCATAAGTTAGGAATCATAATAAATTAGAGGATCACCACAACATTACCGCGTGCCGGTAATACGCATATTGTAAAGTAGAAATATATATGAACCAATAAGAATATTTACGACAACTTGAAGTGAATACATAATATCAGTTTTTTAAATTTCTACGTATGTAGATACAAGTCGAGCAGCACAAACCAGCGATGTTGATTAGAGAATATCGCTAATTGTAAAAATTAGTTATTGGAGACACAATCTTTTACTTTGCGATTTATTATGCAAGTGATCAACACACACATTTTATTATCATATTAATTAATATCATGTATTTACGTCATATCGATTTAAACAAAGTATAAGTAATGAAATAAAAGACAACATAAATAATTTATATATTATAATATAAATATTATATACATATAATCTTTATATTATAATAAATAACTTTGACGATTAGAATTCAACGGTATGTAAAATTTCTTTTATTCTAAATATAAAAAGAAACTGCGCTCTGCGCGTTTTGTCGTCTTCGTGAGAAAGTTTCCACGGAAATTGTTCTCTCCTTCGGCATAATCGTATAAAACGCGTCGCTTGAATTAGGGGACTAAGCCCATGAAAAGCCACGTGACCCTTACGACTTTCGTTTCGCACGCTTGAAATCGTGCTCGGATCATAATTTTCCACTTGATCAAATTTTCAAGACAAAAATAACTTGCCAGTATTTTTTGAATAATTTTTTTATTTTTATACTTAACATATATCCTATTTATGTATCATACAATAGTAGCTTGCATCGCTTATGTGTATATTTTTTATACTTAACGATATAATTAGGTAATAATTAATTTGTAAAATATAATTTTTATTTTAAATTTTATTCTTATTTAAAATATTATTTACTGTTATTTTTTTTACGTAATTATTTATTTGATTTTCTAAATATAGGATAGACAATAAAATATGTACAATAAAGTATCAAAATATTATAAGTTGATATTCTTACTTATTGTTTTTCATTTCTTGTACAAACTTATAATTTTAATTTATAATGCTAATGTAATAGTACTACAATTTATACTATTTATAATATTATAAAATATTACATATATATTGTAAAAAATTTACAATGACAAATTTGTATTGACAACAATTTCTGCAGTGAAGAGATTTTTGGCACGAAATTGACTTTAAATATATGTAAATTATGTTATATACTAATATCAATATGTCATATTATAATAATCAATATACGTATAAGGTAGAGTGGAACTATTCCGTAATTATAGTTTCAACTTTAAAGTAATACGAAAATTTATGATAGCAAACAATACCTCTTTGCATTGACGTGTTTATAATTATATTATACAAGCACGATTGTTTCTTGAAAGCACAAGCACAACCTTCAAATGGGTGGCACCCAATTGGACACGGCTCAATTGGCCACTCACAGCGCTTGAGACTACAAAGCTCCTAAGCACCGGTCGCTGTGATTGGTGGTGTCCAATCGAGCCGTGATCAATCGGGATCACCCCCCTTCAAATAATCAATATGTACTGTTTAGAAATATTATGACGAGAAACGAATAAGTCCCGCTCTACCCTATAATTGTATATTGTATATTGATCATACACTTTAGTAATGGTTGACTAATGTGCTAAAGAATTAATGTTAATAGATTTTAATTATAGACGAAAAATTCCTCCGTTTCATTTATTCGTCTCTTAATTTTGATAGGTTTCAATTTAAGATGAGAGAAGGTTTTGCCTCAAATTGAAGAAAAAGAATTTCTGATTTCAAATTAAAGTCCGTTAAAATTAATTTTTTATTAGGTTAGTTAATTTACTGGAATTAAAATCAATTCCATGCCCTAGAAACGGCTGTCATTTCCCCGTAAATTTGAAATCGGCGTGAGTCTCGCGCGTTCTTCTCTACCAAACTCAGCGCGACGGGCCCTCCCCATTCCAATGATTAGACGTAGGGGAGGGGATGAGACGGCGCCATGTTGGGTCCGTCCGCGCCGCACCGCGCCGCGTCACTCGTCAACCTCGTCAGTCGCCCGATGATTGCGACCGTGTATACGTCGCACGCACGAGCCATGAATTGAGCTCGCGTTCGCTCGTGCCGCGTCGTCGTTTAATCCTTTTTTTTTAATTTATTCTGTTGCGTGCATCTTTTTTATTTTACATTTTGCACTGACGCGCGGAACAAATACGGAGTTGTATATTTGAGAAATCTGACAGTAAAAAAAAGTGCGGGGACCTACCATAATATATATAAATACACATATATATAATTTGCGTGCAAAGTGCGTGTCCCTGTGATCCCTCTCTCTCTTCCTCACTCTCTCTCTCTCTCTCCTTAAAAGAGCGCGGGTGAAAGAGAGCGAGGGACAGAGAGAAGTAGACGAGGTAAAAAAAAAAAGAAAAAGGAAGGAGAGGGAGAGAAAACGGCGTGCGATGGCTGTGAGGCCACGCATCGGCCCTTCCGGTAGTGAACGCGCTTCCGGGAATGCCGAGTACCTCACCGGGATATCCGTCGTACGATGGACTGCCAGGAGTACGCTCGTCGTCGCGACGGCGTTCGCCATCCTCCTCGGAGTCGTCGATGTCGCGGGCATCAGGACGGGTGAGTACCCTCCGCGCGCGCGCACGCGCGCGGATCTTGGAGCTCTTTAAACTTTAAATCGGAGCAATTGAATTTCTGCTGCTGGGAGGACCTGTTTTCGTCGAAAGTCTATTTATTTCAAAAATACCTGTCAATTAACCGTTTCCGAAGTAACTTTTACCTCGAAAATATTCTAAATAATTGCGTATCAAATTGCGTTTCTTTGAGTCGCGAATTAGAGTCCATTCTTTTTGGATCCTCTGTATCTCATTAATCACATATTGCTGCCAAGCACGTTGTAATCGAACTTGCACATCAATTTTATCTGTAGGATTTTAAATCTATTAAAGATATTTTTCTCTCAACTATGCTTTCTCTTTTTCTTACAGACAACTCACACATTTTGCTCTATATAAAACGACTTTCCGCGACTTCTCACATCTTGTTTCCCTAACATTCCGCTGTGCAGTGCACGAAAGTGGGAAAGAAGTACACTGCAAAACCTCAGACTTACAAGCTAGATTAATCATGTATTATTATAACAATCAATATATGTATATAATTATATATTGATTTTAATTTAGTAGATTAATTAATAAGGATTTGATTTTAATAGATTTTAATTTGAAACGAAAACCTTTACATAGAAAACATTCATGTTGTAAAGAATTCTGTCAATGAGTATAAAAGATAAAAAAAAAAGATTAAAAAATCTGTTGCTCGCTGATTGAACGCGGCCGAAAAGAAATAGTTGATGTATCTCGATATCGACGAGTCGTGAACGTGAACTCTTTGAACATATCAATCGAATTTAATTCGTTAGTAAAAAGTTACCAACGGCAAAGACAAATTCAAGTCTTGACTTGGACGATGTTGAAGTCTCTTCGAAGTAATCTGTTACAAATCACACGAACGCGATAATAAACCGTTTCTTTCTTTTTTATTAGAAATACACATAAGGTCATTTTGTTGGAATCTCATGTGTTTATTCGATTTGTTTGGAACTACGACGAAATTATCCAACGAAATCAAGGTCAAACAGGACTAGTTTCTTTTTCATCACCTATACTCACGGAACTAGTTGTCTATTGTTATCATTGTGTGGATCACGTTTTTAATCTTTTCTTATATTTACGTGAAGGAGGGAGAGAGAGAGGGGGAGGGAGGGAAGGAGGGAGGGAAGGAGGGAGGGAGGGAGGGAAGGAGGGTGGGAGGGAGGAAAGTGGGACTGGTGGAAAAGACATAGAAACCGGTTTCATGTAGTGAAGACTCTCTGTGTGTGCGTGCGTACGTGCGTCGTGCGTGCGTGTGTGTGCGTGAAAAGAGTAAAAACCGATGACAAAAGCCGCACCGAATTTTTATCAGTCCCTTCGAATTCTAAAAAAAAATTAATTTTCATATTTTTTCTTATCAACTGTCTCTTTCTAGTCTTCTCCGGCCACTTTTCACGAGAAATCGGCTTGGTATGATTTCGAAGGAAACTACGACAATATGTTCGTGTTTGAACTGCATCCGAAGAAGACAGGAAAAGGAAACGGACTTGAAGAAAAATTCTTTCGATAATGATACGTTGCCTTTCTCGTTTCAAAAAACTCACATAAATCATGGGATTGTGAACTTCATTAGCAGTTTCAAGACAAAATAAATAAGAACTGATATTATTTAAAACCTTCCTATGCATTAGCAATATCGTAAGCAAGAGATTTAAGTAGATTCTGCTTAGGACACTTTGTCCTATCAATACAAGGCCATGTTCAAATTTCTACCTGAGTGCCACCAGGTATTATTCTCTTCTTGTTATTTACCGAACGTTAAAAATACCGAGCTTGAAAAAATGCAAATCTAAATAAGCGAGAGCTTTTTTTTCGTTAATAACATTATTTACAAAATTATAGCTTTTATTTTTAATTAATGTCCTTTGATTAAATTAATATTCTTAATTTCTACGAAAAATATGAAAACTTTTAATTTGCTTTGTTAAGAAAATTAATTCACATTTGTTGCCTTTTTTTTCATTATGGAATTATCAAATTATTAATAATTTAAAAAAGAAACATGAAAATTACGTGAAAATTATTTTTTTTCTAAATTTCGAAAGATTTACGAGTCAAAGTAACATTTTGACATCGCATGCGAGAAACGTGATATATTTCTTTAAATTCATTTATTTTCCATGTCAATCAAACGATCACTAATGTAATATTGTTGTCGCAGGAATCTGATATTCGACGATGCAATCCTGGATTAGCTAGATATATATAGTATTGTGTTTTGATTACGTAGTGCAACTTACACCTTACGAACTACATTAAGTCATTCCGCGAACGATATTAATAAAAAGCTTTTTCTCTCGTTCACACATAAGAGCACACACACATATATTTGACACACGTGATACATGCAATCACAAAGATAACACCGACAGCGTCAGAGGATAAATATCAATATGTTGACGATTGGCTAAATTAAATCTCTGACCTTCTCCATGATGAACTCGTTACTCAATCCGGAGTGCGTCGACCATTTAAAACTTTATCAATCCGATCGGTGAACCTTTCCCGCAGCTTATAAAAATGGATTCTGTATTTCTTATTATCTATTTTTTATTTCCTTTTTTTTCTCATTCTTCATTTATGTATATTACAATAATAACGAATCATCATTAAATTACGTTGTTCATTGGATAATTGATTTGCTTGCTGTTGTACATACTTATTATTATGTGTGATTGTGTTTTACAGAATATAATTTGAATGATTAGCGTAATTTGCTTAAAAATTTCTTTTTTCTAATATCTTTCTAATTTCTTTAATATATGTATAATACTTTAATTAAAAAAAAAATTTATCTGTTTCTCTATCTATATCTTTTCAAAATTTGATATATTTTTATTCAAATTTTTATTTACAAAAACAAAATTATCTAAAATAAAATAACAAACATTTGGTTATTTAGTTAGCGTGATCTCATAAGAGATCGCATAATATGTAATTTAAAAGTACAATATACGTATATAACTCAGCCCTTTTAAAAATACCAGAAAAATTGTTTTGCAAAATATAGAAGAGCCTTTGTTATTTTATTCTTCTAATAATTTTTTCGTATCTCGCAAAGCACCTTGTAAAATTGCAAAAAGCTCGTGCAACATCATTGTGGGCTACGGGTGAGACAAGTGGGACGAATCAGTGGGTCAACGAAACGACCTTCGTACTCGAGAGCGCCGCGAGTTTGCAAGCTCTGATTCCTGCAACGCGCGCAGGCGAGAAAGTTCTTCCCCTCGAAGAGTCGATAGTTCTTTGACGTATTTAGAGTCGATCTCTCCTTAGCGAAAATCCGATTGGATGGCACTTTTTTCGTAACGTTTTAATTTTTAATAATAATTGTGGCTGATATGAACGCCGTAAACTAACTTTTCACGCATGAACGCGGTCTATATTTATCAAAACTATACGTTTTCATTATTCGAAGAAAATACGAAAAATTTTTGAATCAAATATTCATGGTTTATATGCTGTATTATTTAGCGACTGTATGTATATTTCAGGATCAAAACTGTCAAGCTCAATTTATGAAACTTTCGCTAAGCCATTATAATTTCAATGTCACTAGCAAGGAAATAAACGAAAAAGTTAACCTTACTTCAATTTAAACGAGTTTCGTTATTTTTGTACGACAAACAAAATAAAAGAAATTTCCCGAAATTTTCTGAGTGAAATTTACGCTCTCTCGGAGCGATGACATTTTTTTTCGCGGTCGGAGGAAACGACGTTTCCTGAATACGAAATCGAATAGCGGTATCGGCGGAAACTCACGAAGGCATGATCGGCTGATAGTCAACAGCTGCCGCGGCTATACCGAAAGCACAAACTCTTGTAAAAATGAGGAAGAAGAAATTGTAAATAATGCAGATATCGTGTGATATGAAAATACGCATGAAAAAAATTACAACTGTTAATGGCCTCCAGTAAAATGTTGGTTAGGGCAGGTTTTGTGGGCCAATCTTATTTATAGAAAATGCTCCAATTACAGAAGCATTTCACAGCAGAACTTCGTCTTTTAACGGTGATTATGCACGCGGTTACAGTGGTTTCATTTGTGCGAGGCTAGACGTGACATTGTCACGTGCGATTGATTGGTCGTCGTTATATTGATGCGTATCAGATTTATCTAGTAAGACAAAATGACAGTATATTCGTGAAAATATTTGTTATATTATATTAGAATACATGCCGATCGAAAATTTAAGACCATTAATTGAAAATGTTTATTATATGAAATAAAATCAAACTTATACATTAAATTTTTATATATTTTTATTATTTTGCTTATTATTTTATGAGATAAAAAATAATGTATAGGAAGTTCGAAAGTGCTACAGAAAATATGTTTTTAAAGAAGAAAAACATTTAAAAAATGGATCCTTTTTTCATCTCTTATACACAAAACCATCCTTACATTTAATTAAACTTTATTAATCTAAATAACCCAGCTACAATTTTGTTTATTTTTTCTAAGAAAATATTTTTGCATTCATTTACTAAAATACTTCACAGCTCAATTTTGGAAAAAAGTTTTATATCACCACGGTCTATTTTCTTGAAGTTAAACGTTGTTGTGTCAATCACAACAGTGCTGTGCTGAATATAATGACTATTTACTTTCAAATTGAGAAAAACTATTGAGTAAAGTATGACTCGAACTTTTAAGGAGATCCTAAAGCTATCTGTATTACCGACTAAATCATACAATTTTTGTATAATAATTACTTTTGTGTATAATAAAAACTTTTTTCCTCTTTTACAAATTTGAAAATCCTTTTCCAGGATTAAAGTATACACATTAATACGTGTCTGTAAGATGGAGTTTATTTATGGAGTCGACAACAACAAAAAATTTCGAAATTGAGAACTTCTTTATCATTTCTTAGTCCAATGTGACGCTCTAGAGGACAATATTTTCTTCATATAAACGCTATGCAATTTGTATTTACGAAATAGTAGTGCACAGACTAGTAGTTTGCA